CCCACACAAAGGTGGGGGTTTCACTCACTAATATAGCAGCCCCTTAGCCAATCAGGCCGCTTGGCTGTTAGAATTTTCTAGCACAATTACGTCATGCTCTTTTTAACTGAGCATGTGTGAGTTAGAGCTCTGTGTTGTAACTAGGCATGTGCAGGGCTGAAAAGTAGCTCACTGGTGATTGAGAAGTAGGTCACCGGTGATTGACAGAGCTTCAGGTCACCCAGGGGCCACGTGCTGGGCATGCTGTGGAAATTTCCATGAGCCAGTGTTATCTGCGCATGATCAGACTTAACTCATGTGTTGCCAGCACATCTCTAGAATTTTGCTTGGACAGTATGGAAGTAAACTGTACTGATATCCAGATCTAGCTATATACATAAACACTCAGTATATGTACATCCATAGAATATCTTGATCTAGATAAATCTAGATCAAGATATTCTATAGATATGCATATACTTGATGTTTATGTATATAGATATATAGATCTATAGATATACATATACTGAGTGTGTATGTATATTATACAGTCATACACACACACTCTTGGTATATGTATATCTATAGATGTAGATCTATACATATACTGAGTGTTTGTATGTATAATATACTCACACACTACATGTATCTCTATAGATCTAGGCTATACATCTAGAGATGTACATTTACTGAATGTTTGTGTATACAGATATATATTGTGAGTGAGACTTAAGTTCAAATATTAGTAGGGCTAGAGATCTTCAAAGCTGAATTTCATGTTGTCCATTAATATTGACCAGCAACAGTTCCATGAAGTTGTTATGACAGGAAACAGCATTCTGGCTATTGATAGTCAAAAAAACCCTCATGAAGCATCTTGCCTTTTCAGAATAACTATATCCAGAATTATCTCAACATTGGATAATAGGAAGTGTGGCTGGAAGGGATGTCAGGAGGTCATCTGGCCCAGCTCCCTGCTCAGGGCAGGATTGTTCCTGACTGAACCATCCCAGGCAACTACCTGTCTAATCTGCACCTGATAATTTCCAGGGATAGAATTTCCACAACCTCCACAACCTATTACAATGCCTAATCATCCTTATGGTGAGAAAATTATTCCTAATCTCCTAAAATTTCTTCTGTTGCAGTTGGATGCTGTTCATCCTGGTCCTGTCCCATATGGTCAGAGAGAAAAGCCCATCTTCATTCTCTTTACAATTGCCTTTTAGGTATTTGAAAACTGCTATCAAACCCCCACTTCAGTTCTATTCCAGACTAAATAATTAATCTTTTCAGTCTTTCCTTATAGGTCATGTCTCCCAGGCCTCTAATCACTTTTGTTTCTCTCTGCTTGTCTTTTTCCAATCTGTGCACTTCTTTCTTGAAATGTGGGGTCCAGCACTGAACATAGTAGCAGGGCTGACCTGGGGGATGTGGTGTGAGTCAGGGCGACAGGCTTTGACCCGCTTCCACTCCACCACCAACACTGCTGCTGGCAAATGTGGTGGCAGATTCATAGTTTCATAGTTTCATAGTTTCCAGGGTCGGAAGGGA